TTCATGAAGCCACAATGCAGTGTGTTGGTGCCTTGTATTCCAGTGGCTGACCATTTGTTTATTTAAAAACAACAACAAAGAAAACCCTTTTAAGAAATGATTCAACGACCACTGGATAGATTGTCATAAATTTGTTTAATTATTTGCTGCCTCAGCATCCACTTTTAGGCATGACATAAGTTGTTCCAAACCCAATCATAGCCCGTATCACCTTTGGCTTAGTGAATTCTCCCCCTTCCCTGACCCCAGGTAGCTGTGCGTGATATGGACCAATTGTTGCCTACCTCACTGACCCAAAACTTAGCACATCCAATGGTTACTAATCACCAGAAAACACAATGGTCAATGCCAAAGTCATGTGAAGAAGTTCTCCCTTCACACGTCTGTTCTTTAAACTAACCAATCCACAACCCCGTAGGGAAAGCCTAGGTAGGGCTGTCCTCTGCCATTGGAAGACTAAGAGCAGCCTTCAACCCCAAATTAAATACATGAACACTAACAATACCTAATGAGCACACTTTGCAATATCCGACACCACAGATAAGAAGAACAGTCCTCAAAAAATCAGCCTGCTGGCTCAGGACCTGTAGCTCAGTGGTTAGGGCACCAACCACATACACAGGGGCTGGCGGGTTTGAATCCAGTCTGGGCCTGCTAAATTACAATGACAACTACAAAAAAACAAAAAAAAAAAGGCCAGACATTGTGAGGGGCACCTATAGTCCCACTACCCAGGAGGCTGAAGCAAGAGAATCACTTAAGCCCAAGAGTTTGAGGTTGCTGTAAGCTGTGATGCCACAGTACTCTATAGAGGGTGACATAGTGAGACTCTGTCTCAAAAAAAAACTAAATTAAAAAAAAATCAGCCTGCAGTTGGACATCCCTAGCTAGGAGATAATGCAACTTCCTAAATGCAAAGTCCCACAGGGATTCTCTCTCTTTCTCCCTCCCCTCCCCATCAGCTGGCAGCTCCCTGAGACCTCCTGACTTCCCCTTGGCCTTCTGAGTCACCCCCAACCTCTTCCAGCCTCTGTAAGTAACAAATTTCTTCTGTTTCATGCATTTTTGCTTCACTTCCTCATTGTGTCTCCCCTAATCTAACATATCTGAACCTAACTTTCCTCTATCAAGGCTCCCCTAGAGTGGCTATCTTTCCTTGTGGCTACTCTTCACAGACCTCAAGACCAAATTAGACAGAAATCATAACTGGGCAGCACCTGTGGCTCAAAAGGGTAGGGCGCCAGCCCCATATGCAGGAGGTGGCAAGTTCAAACCCAGCCCTGGCCAAAAACAAAAAGAAAGAAATCATAATAATAAAAATCACAACACCCTAAGTTCCCTTCTCCGTCCCTAATCCCCTCTCCAGTACACACATTCCAACTAGACTCAGTCACCCTGTGTTGAATGTGCCAGCCTTCCGCCATCTCCATGCCTTTATGTGAGTGACTCCCCTGCCTGGGCTGCACTCCCTCCTTCCCTGTCATCCTCATGCTAAAATCAGATCCATCCATCAGAGACCACCTCAAATGACAGCTCTTCCCGAAAGCCTTTTCTAATCTTCCCAAGCACCTTCTAAATCCCATGACATTGGATTTCTTCTGCCTCTTGTTCCCCTCCACTTTGTAGTGTCATCTCCAGAATGTCTACAGGAGCTCTGAGCAGTAACCTGGTTGGAAGGGAAGCCCAGGAGACTGGCCTTAAAGTAGCATCTGCACAAGCACCATATTTTACTGAAATTACATGGGGAGGGAGGCTGATGAGGACAGATGATGGAGCTGCTATGATACACACAATCCTAAGCCCTGCCACTGAGTGCTATTTGCTCTTTTCTTTCTCCCACTAGCCTGCAAGTGCCTATGACAGAGGACAGAGGCTGTGTTCTTCCACCAGCACGTGCTGCAGAAGAGAGCCCAGGGCCTGCCTCGGAGTAAGGCTTGACACAAACGCTTCTGCCAGGCATCCATCCTGGAGGGAAACACAGCTTCTTTTAGTCCATCCAGAACAAGTAAGTCCCCAAAGGTAGGACAGTCTGTCCATCTTTAATAGGCTCCTATTTTAAGGTGCCATTTTACTTTGGAAACTGAATTTACCCAGAAACAGGTAATGGGCAGGGCCCCCAATCTGAAGGTGCCAACTGTGAGTGAAGAATAGGGGTAAGTGGCTCTCACATTGGTTTGTCAGTTCCGTGGTGCATCCACTTTCTGAGAGTACACGCTCACCCAGCGGGCACCACCCCTCATTTGCAACAGAGACAGCAAATTGCTCCATACCCCAGCCCTACCGGCTTTGCTTGCAATGGGTGTGGCACATCCCAGGGGAACCTAGGTGACACTCACACTAGGTGACATCCAGTAGGTCCAGGCAACTGGAGGGCAGGATACACAGCCCTCTTTAAAAATGAAGGCTGTGGCTTGGCGCCTATAGCACAGTGGTTACAGCACCAGCCACATACACCAAAGGTGGCAGGTTCGAGGCTGGCCCATGCCAGGCTGAACAAAAGCAAAACAACTGCAACAAAAAAATAGCCGGGCATTGTGGAGGGCGCCTATAGTCCCAGCTGCTTGGGAGGCTGAGGCAAGAGAATCATGTAAGCCCGGGAGTTTGAGGTTGCTGTGAGCTGTGATGCCACAGCACTCTACCAAGGGCAATAAAGTGAGACTATGTATAATAAGGGAAGCTGAGAAAGAGTGGCCAAAAGGGGGTGGAATTTTCTTCTACAGGTGTGAGGCCAGATTTTAACCTTTCCCTTGGCAACTCTGCATATCAAACAAGAGAGACACTAATATAGATATTAGTCTTGTACTGCTGTAGACACGCACCGTCCCACCCCTTGTTTCTTAATGGTCTTAAAAAAAAAAAAACAACTCTTGAACCCAGGTTAGCCTATTTCCTATTCATATTCTTAAGGAATAAGAACCTTTTGCAGTAAAGAAAGACAAAGATACCCTGCAGCTTTACATTAGGAATGTTTCTAGATCGTTGGTTGAAAGCATAGACATTTGTTCATTTGCACCCTAAACACACTCCATGGCTTCATTTAAATCTGAATGTTCATGTATGTATTCCACCCAACTGCCTATGCAGAGTTCCAACTTAATCAAGTGCTTAATGAGTAACATTAGTATTCGTTGCCTTCTCCATGGGCGCCTACACTCATCAAGGTAAATAGCTACTGACCGCCTCTACAGTCCTTGGTTGAGCTAAGAATTGTCTATCCTCATCTTGACAGTGGACTGTTTGTCCTCCAAGATGGGAAACTCCTGCTGGGTGCTTTCCAAAGCCCTTGTTTTTTAAGAAGGCAAGTTTCCACATACAGATTTTTCAAAAATGCCAGATCATTCAGAAGAGCAGTAAGAACTAAGACTATATTATCTGGGTGATATTCAGGCATGGAACTAAGTGCTAGGGATGCAGTGATGCCCTCCCCCCGCCCCCCAAGTCCTGGTTCCTGCCTTCATGGTCCTTACTTGGTGGGGAGGCTGTCACCCTAATGAATACCTAATCACAGAGTGAGAGCAGTGTTTGCAAGGAAGGCACGGAGTTTGGGGACCCCATATGGAGGGGGAGGGGTGCTGGAGCTAAGCTGTGAAAGATGAATTCGGGAAGAAATTGGCTATTTACTAAATGTTAGGGCAAAAGTGTCTCCCACTCCTCTCCCCACAACCTGTAGTACAACTCCTCTATTCATAGATGAGGAAACTGAGGCACAGCAGAGCCAGATGACCTGCCCAAGAGATCAGAGCTAATTGTACAAACTAGCGATCCCAATACTCAATCCCTTCCTGCTAAATCAATCACGTGAATTTTCTTAATACCCCAGCTATAGATTATCCGAATGCACTTGACAAATAAAACACAGAATATTGAGTTAAAACCACATCTCTCAAGGCCACAAGCATAAATAACGATCGTGTTTTAATGTGGATGATACCTTTTCATTTTGCAAATCCAGAGCTCTTATCACATCAAAATTCAAGACAGTTTGTTCTGTAAGAACAGGAAGGTCATAACCCTGTCTAAAATGGACTGGCAAATCCCTCTAACCGTGCAGTGCTAATTGCGGCGGGAGCTCTGTATCCACGCTGACTTCACGTCCCAGCTGGGGTTTCAGATCTACGCGAGGCGACTGGAGGTAGTCCTTTGCATAGGGTCCTTCCCCGGGCTCCCGGTGCCCCTGGGGATTAGCCGCCGCCGAAGGAGTAGCTTTCTAGCCAGCGCGTGCGAACGCTGAATAATAAAAACAATTCTTTTCAAAAGCCGGAGAGGTTGCGCTTTCCGTGGCTGCGGGTAAATGCAAACGCGCCGCGGCGGAACACACCCTGACCGGAGGTTACCTCTGGGGAGAAGCTGCCAAGGGAAAGGGGTACGCTATGGTCTACTTTTTACTCTAGACACTCCTGAGTTGTGTTAAACTGTACGCAAGAACGTTTTCGGGTATTAGGCATGTAATACATATGTATTAATTTTTTCAAGAAGATTCTCAAACAAAAATAAAATTTCAACAGAACAAAGGTGTGTCTCTGCAGAGCGCAACAGCATTCTCTCGGCTCTAACTGCCTCCTCCAGAAACCTCAATGGAACTCCCCCTCGACCACCGCCGAACTGAAGGCGGAAAACGTGCACACCGCCCCCTCCCCCACCCCCGCCCCTCGGCATCCCCTAGGGGATTCGGGAAGTTGGAGGCGCCCGGAGGTCGCCGCACTTGCAGCTCGAGCTCGCAACCTTAGGGTTTGGAGAAAGTCCGGACTTTCCGGCCGGCGCGCTCCGCACCCACCCAACCGGTGCTGATGCGGGAGGGTGGGGCCGCGGTGGGGCGGGGCCATCCGAGCCTGCACCCCACCTCCTCTCCCGCCCCTCCTCGCCAGCCCCGCCCTTGCTCGCCCCCCGCCCGCGCCCGGGGCGCCCGGCCCGCCCCCTCCCCTCGGCTTCCCGACGAACCTCGCTACGCAGCGCTCGGCAGCGGGTGGGGGCCGGGAGAGGGAGGGGGCTGGCCCGGCCGACCCGCTCCGCAGTTGTCTCCGGAGCGCGGGCTGAGCCGCCCGAGCCGCTGGGCCAGTGAAGCGCTGGCGGTTCGCTCCCAGGCCAGCTCGTCCAGGCGCTCGCAGGCATGCAGCCCGGGAGCAGGCGGCGTGCCCCGGGCCGCTGCTGAGCCGGCCCGGGCGGCGGAGACCAGCGCCAGCAGAGCCCCTCCCACCTTGCCCCAGGGCAGACGCACGGCGCCCGGGCACCCCCTCTTCTCCCGCAGCCCCGCCAGCGCCACCCCCCGCGGGCCGTAGGGGCTCATGCAGCCGCCAAGGTAAGCGCGGGCTAGGAGCCGGCGGACCCGGCTCTGACATCCCCGAGGCGCCGCCGACACTTGCCGGGCCACGGCCCTGCTTTGGTCTTTCCCATCCTGCGTCTCATCTTGCTCCCATCTTGTCCACATTTGGAGCTTTGCTGAACCTCGATCTCTTTAGCTCTTGGCAGCAGGAAAGTTTTTGTGGTTTCGTGTTTGTTCTTTTTTCCTAAAATACTCTCCTCCGGGCAGCCGACCGTGCGCGTGGTTGGGCAGACCCGGCGCACGCCCCTTGCACTGTGTGCGGGCTGGGAGCTCCCTCTCTCTAGCGCGGCTACCACCTCATGGGGCGGCCGCTCCATCTGACCCACGGAGCCTCGGGTGAAGCCGGCCACCCGCCTGTCCCGCCGTGAACCCCCATTGGCCTGCGTCGCCCGGGCCCCCGCCTTCCGTTTGACGCCCGGCTGCGGAGCCGCTAGGCAAGCGATTCTCTGGGACGGGGCAGGGGGACTTCGGCGCAGCGCGTGGTCTGTGGTGGGGGTCCGCAGCCCTTCCCCTGTACTCGTGGGTGCGCGGGAAGATGCGGGACTTGGGTTGAGCTTTAAGGGATAGAATTCCCAAGGGGCCCCGGCCTTCCTAAGTGGACTGGCGGGCACCGCGCAGGGGGGCGACTCAGCGCCCAGTTCGTGCCACGGCTCATCTCAGAATAGTAGTAGCTGGGGCCAGAGGACAGGTGTGCTTAGAGGGAGGGACGCTTGGATGCAACTCTTGATTGCAGTTTATTAAAGTAATTGCATTAGTTTCTCGGAGGTAGAATCAATTCCCCCAAATTGAGATTTTAATGGGAGCCTGTGAGCTATGTGGTGTGGTTTTGGAAGGCGTTGGATTGTATTTATTTTATAAATCGGGTATCTTGCGGACGGATCAGGGGAAATAGCGCCATCTAGAGGAAACGGTATGCGGTGCATCCTCTTTGACCGCGAAGTTGGCAGTTCTCAAAGTGGACTCCGACGCAGGGCTGGGAGGCGAGAACCAGCCTGGGGTCCGAGAGAGAGAGAGAGGTTCTCCGGGTATGTTTGGTCGCGCTGAGAGCCCGATGCCCCGAGCTCAGCACTCCGCCGAACTCACGCGACGGAATTGCAGGTCGTACTGAGTGGCAGGCTCTCAACTCAAAGAGCTCCAGGCTCTCAACTCAAAGAGCTCCATCACCTTCTCCATCTGGTTTTAGAATCTTCCAGCAAAAACATAAACAGTTCCTTGCTGTTAGAAGATGCTCCTTCCTCGGGCATCTGTCGCAGGGGTCTGGAAAATCTGTGCGCGGACCTTGCTTTTCTCCTGTGTATGGCAGACAGGTGATTTCTCAGATGGGTCTTGAGCCATGACCCTTAGAAAAGAGATTGGCTGTGCGCTAAAGATTAGCATAGGAGAGCTAGGGAAGAGGGCCTCATGCCAGGATGTACAGGACTGATGTGGCATACCCAAAATGGCATTTGTGTGCATTAGAAGGGGCTTCTTGCTGAACTACCTACACAGCAGGTGACAGGCAGGTCCTCTTTTCAGGGACATGATCTCCAATTAACAACTGGGGCGTACCCTGCTGGATGGCAGGCAGAGCAGACAAAGGCTCTGGGTGGGGCACGCACACATCCAGGCGGGCTGCAAGTTCTCCGTGGTTTTTGCTGCCACCTTCCAGGCCAGATAGTATTATCTGTGAGCTGAGTCCTCCCTGTTCTGAAGGGCACGTTGGTTCCTTGCAGAACAGTGCTGGTTCTGCTTGCCTGCCTCCTTGAGAGCCTGGGGGCTATGATGAGAGAAAGGGAGCTCCTAGCCACCTTTTTTCAAGAGCCCTGCTTCCATTACTTCCCTCCTTGATGACAGGTGCTTACACTCAGATTAGACAAGTAAAACAGTGGGTGACTTGTCTGCCTACCCCCCACAGCAGTCTGAAAGTGTCTGTCCGTTTGCAGGTATTTAATAACCAGACTTGTGATAAAAGGGGTCTTAGAGGAGCTTGGATACTCAAGGAGAGTATCGTTGACCTTTACTAAGAAACCTCTGTTTGCTTTCTATCCTTACAAACCTCTCCCAAGATCAGTGCCTCCCTGCGTGTTTAATAATAGAGAAAGGAGGCATGAGAAGCCCATGTTCCATAGCATCACTTGGTTCTCCTGTTCAGCAGCCCTGTGTGTAAGGCCAGATAAATACAAGAATTCTTAGATGAGGCGATGCAAAATGAATAGGGAATGGGGGGAGGGAATGGTCTTGCACTGCTTCCCAGGGACAGTGAGCATCCCTGGCATTGGGACAGGGAGCTTTCAAGCGGCCCCACAGGGTTGCTCACCGTCCCCAGGAAGCAAGCAGGAACAAGTGCTGGTATTTTCATTTCTCAGAAGAAGAAACTGATGGCCAGAGAGGTGAAGGGGTATGGCAAGGGTTCCATGGGTCTAATAACCTTGCTACCATATGAATTAAGTTCATGCTCTTGCTTTTACCTGGTATGGTTACAAATTTTGGTCAGGCCTTTAAAGCACACAATGCAAATGTGAAAGGAGCTATAGTCAAAAAGTCAGCCATCCAAGGAAATAGGTGCCCAAGTGGAAATGAGTAAAAACAGACAAGGATTATCAGAAACCAACGCAGGCTAATTGGAATCCATTAATTCCGTGAAATGAAATGGTACCACCCCTTAAAGGTAATTGTTCTGTAACTTGATTTATAATATCTCAGAGGTAAGCTCAGGTAGCTTTTGAGTATCTGCAGTATTCCTGTGGCTCTTTAGGAAAATGGCTTTGCTTTTCAAACAATATCCATTGTTTAGTCATGCAGCAAACTTAACTGAACATAAGTTTAACCTGAGGAAGGAAGGAAGACTCCAGGCATTCCCATCTGTCTAGTATCTAGCCCTGTCCAAATGGCAGGATCCTCTTTTTCTTACTTTGACCTAATGGCAGCTCCGTTTCAGCCTCCCTTCTCTTAGCAACAGAGCTATAAAGAAGCAATGAACAGAGCAATGGAAAAAATTAAGGACTGCCTCACCCAAATGTGCATACAAGGCCAGGCAGAAGTCAAGTTTCCTTGGTGACAGATGAACAAATGAACATCTTTGAAAGGATACCCAGTTTCTTAGCCCAGTTTGTTCTGTAAGTTAAAAATGCTATATCATATAAGAACACAGGAGTCGGGGCAAGAATGCCTAGTGAAGTGTGAAACTTTATACTTCTAAGGGCAGAAGAAGAAAGAATTTTGAAATTTGGACAGAAATTGAACCAAATAAATGTAACTATCTTTTATGACCTCTCAAAAAATTTCAAGTCAGTGCTAAGTGATGAACATAAAGTATGTACCTATCCAACTTATAAAATTATTATATCCAGATTCCTACAGTAAAGAATGAAAAAGTAGCAAACACACTTTATGCAGAAAATAATTACATAATTGCTGGTTGGATTTACATCTCATTTTCTCAGTCATTTGTTTAAAGCAATGCTACAAGGTGTGGAGCTTTTGGAAATTAAGATAATGGATTTGCCAGCATTTGAAAATCAGGCAAAAACTTGAAAACAAAAAGATTCTGTCAACTATCTGGTAAGACAAAGGCAATTCCCATAGATTCTTGTGGGTCAAATCAGAGATCAGCAGATGTGAGTTTAAAATACTCTAAAATTTTTGACTTCTGTCTTTTTTTTGGTAGCTACCATCTGTTGTGGCTTCTCCGTCTAGTTCTTTTTTTCATCTTCTAAGATCTCAAGGTCTTTATAGCAGCTTGCTGTGACTGACAGCAACAATTTGTCCTGTTTCCTGAGAATACTCCACTCCTCTTCTGTCTTTGTACACAGAGATGTTCTGCCTAAGTCCTCAGTGAGAATTTCAGTACCATTGCTTTATTCTTCGTACACTTTTCTTCTTGAAGATGGATATAAATCATTTTCATCCTTTGTAGGTATTTTAAAGAATTTTCTTCTTGGCTCGGCACCTGTGGCTCAAGCGGGTAAGGCGCCAGCCACATACACCTAAGGTGGCGGGTTCGAATCCCCAGCCCAGGCCTGCCAAAACAATGATGGCTGCAACCCAAAAATGGCCAGGCGTTGTGGCGGGCGCCTGTAGTCCCAGCTACTTGGGAGGCTGAGGCAGGAGACTCGCTTGAGCCCAGGAGTTGGAGGGTGCTGTGAGCTGTGATGCCACGGCACTCTACCCAGGGGGATAGCTTGAGGCTCCGTCTCAAAAAAAAAAAAAGAATTTTCTTCTTGTCAATGTCTATAAACAAGATTAGGTAGAAACACGCAGACTTACTTATCATGGCCTCCTGTGACAGGACATCCATCATGTCATAAGCACTGTCAGTCACAGTGCAGACACTACTTTAGAATTAACTCTCCTTTTAGACTTTTATACATTTCCCAACCAACCTCTACCACGGAGTGTCTCTTACCTCCAGATTACCTATTTAAATGCCACAAAATCTAATTGTTTGAGGCTCTTTCACAAAGTTTGATTCGATCAAAGTTTTATCTACTTATAAGGCTGTAAGAGCTTGACAGACAGTTTCCCCTTACGGAGATAACATGTTACCTGTTGAAATGGTGGCTCTCAAAGAGGCTTGCTCAAAAACCCTGTCTCAGACAAATGCTGGACCACCTTAGCAACATAGAATTTGCTGCCAGTTGGCAGTACTGACAGTGGCATCTTAAAGAACAGTTAGGTCTTTCAAGAACACAGCCTCTGAACACCTGCTTCTTCCACACAGTATGTTTTCTGGTTGTCAGAGGAAGTCCCAGAAATGTATATTTCATTTAGAGAATCATAAAAATTACAGAGTTGCCTTAAAATACCTGATACCTTGAGAAGGAGAAGAATTAACATTTGACAGTTTGGGTTTGTAATGTATAGAATGTACTTTCATTTACATTGAGTTTAATATCCTTTATGGAAGGCAGTGTAGGATAAATAATAGTTTTTTTAATGTGTTTGCACTTTCTCATATAGGCTTCCATTTAATTATACAAGTGAGATACAGCAAATAA